TTTCATGTGTTTGGACCAAATTTAGATAAAAATAAGATTTACGAACGCATCAATTTCTTAAACTTTACTTGTGAGATCAAACCAAGTATATTGTTATTGCCATTACGTCTGAACACATGACTTTTTTTCAAACGCTAAATACGTTACCTGATAATTAATTAATCTTTGACATGTTAATCGAAAATGACAAAAGTCGATTCACAGTTGAAACTGACTCGTGTTCACGTAAAACAATATATTACTTTTCTCGAAAGCTAAAGAAGTAACGGACGATTAATTATCTTTGACCAGTTTATCGAAAAGAACAAAGGCACAGTCATAGTAGTAATTTACTCTTTTCCGCGTAAAAACAAACATATAGCTTTGTTCAAACGCTAACTACGTCAACTAACGTTTAATTAATCCTTGACTCTGTTAACCAAAAAGGACAAAGGCAATTCATAATATAAACTTACTCAAGTCCGCGTAAAACAGTGGATACAGAACACGTGTTTACATGTAAATTTCACGTTTTAACTTCATTAATGAAAAAACCGCAGCAGGTTAAACTGTTTTGATATAAAACCTCTGGTGTCCACCACTCATAACAACACTCTCGAGAACAAATTCAAGATCAAGTATTCACGAAGGGTAAAATTACTCCTTTTCCGCATAGTTTAAGGACAATTTCGACCTTGTTTCGTTTTATCTACAAAGGGTAATAAGGAAAATAAAAAAAGTAAACCTAGGGGCATTTTTGTCATTTAATTATCTATTAAACAAACACTTTTGGTGTAATAGGAGTCCAGACAAAAGGCAAATATTATATTTATATATATACAATATAAATATATAATATACATATATATTAGTTTATTTTTTTTTATTTTTTTATCTTTCACTTTTGTTTTTCTATTTTTCACTCCATTAATGGAGGGAAGCTCAAACTTTACAAACTCCAAAAACTCAATTTTTTTTACTGAAAATCAGAAATCAGTACTAATCTGAAAACCCCATTTTTTTTTCTTTGTGGCGCCATTTTTTCATCAGTTTGAACTTCATTCTTGATAGTACTCTGTTTTTTTTTTGTTTTGTAGATGATGGAAATGGAAGATAAAGAGAGTACAGAATCTGGGTCACTAGGGGTTAACTCGGAGTATGATTCACCACCACCAGAACAACCGTTGGCGGTGGTACCAGTGGTGGCAGGAGGAGCAGAAGCAGGAGCAAATGGGAGTTTTAGCAGTGGGGTTGGTGGGGTAGTGGGAACCCAAGTGATGGATATCAGTTTAGGAGGAACTGGGGGTGGAGGGATGGTGGGTAGTGGGGGTAATGGGGTAGTAGTGGGTAGTGGTGACAAAAAGAAAAGAGGAAGACCAAGAAAATATGATGCTGATGGAAATTTAACACCTCAATATATAAAAGCTGCTGCTGCAGCAGCTGCTAAAGCAGCAGCAGCAGCTGCAGTAGGAAGTGGTGGTGGTGGGGGGGTTGTTGTTGGCGGAGCTGTCACGTCACCTGGTGGTGGCGGAGTAACATCGCCGCCGACTGGTTTTACTATAACTTCGCCGGTGCTTTCTTCCGGTGGCTTTTCTTCATCTAAAAGAGGACGTGGAAGGCCTACTGGTGCTGGTAACTTGCAATTAATAGCTTCTTTGGGTAAGTCTAAAAATCCCCCCAGAAAAAAAAAACTTTGTTTAGCTCTGTGTTTTTTGGGTGTTTATGGAGATTTTGCTTAAAGATCTGTTAAAAAAAATAAATTGGGGTAGAGGTAGGAGAAGCAGAAATGGGGGAGGTGATTACGATGTGGGAAATCGAACAATCAATTGAGCTACTAAAATTCCCGGATAGAAATTTTTTCTTAGGTTGTGTTATTGTTTCATTATTTTCTTTAGCCTTTTTGGGGTATTTTTTAAAAAATTGTTTTGTTGATTAGAAGGGAGAAGAACCCTAGAATTTCTAAAAAAAAAATAATTTTTTTTGGGTAAATCTGAAATGAGCAGGCAAAAAGATCCAATATTTTGGTTTTGTTTGCTTTAGTTTGTTTTACCTAATGCCTTTATGGTGATGTTGAGTGTTTGTTTTTTGGTCTATGAAGGTGAACTGTTTGCTCACACAGCAGGAGGTGACTTTATGCCTCATGTAGTTACTGTTCATACTGGAGAGGTAAAAAAAATTTCTTGTTTATTGTTTCTGTTTTTCAGATCTGAGATGTTTGTTTACTTTAGATTTTCTTGAAAGATTTGAGAATTGTTATGTGGTGTGTTATGTAGGATGTGGCAGGAAAGGTTTATTCTTTTGTGCAGAAGGGTTCAAGAGGGATTTGTGTTCTGTCTGCCAATGGTGCTGTTTCGAATGTTACTATTCGTCAGCCTGGTTCTTCTGGAGGTCTCTTGACATATGAGGTATGATTCTTGTTTTCATTCTTTTCTCCTAGTTTTGTGTTTTGTACTCCGTCGTTTTGATTTGTTTGTCTAGTTTTGACTTTGGTAGGGAGTTTAAGAAAGTAAAGATAGATAACATGTAGCAAAAGCTTTGGTTTTAAACATCCGATGTGAAAAAGTTGGGAACTAAAGAGTTGTTAAAAAAGGAAAAAGACATTCTTTTGTGAAATGGACTAAAAAAGTAAAACGGACAAATTGAAACAAATAGAGTACTTGTTATCTTTTTCAAGATTGCATCAGCTTTTACTGGATTTTAGTTACCTGGGGTTCTTCTGTTATTGTTGTTGCCCTACCTCAACCACCCTACATGAAAAAACAAAGAAAAAAATTAGGAAAATTGTCATGATCAAGAATCTAATTATCTGGAGGATGGATTCTCTGCAGGATAATCCCCCCCCCCTCCCCCCTCCCTCTCTCCCCCTTCCTTTTCTGGTTGATAAAGTATATATATGTATTGTGTAATTATCCCATATGTTCTAGCTTTGGTAGGCGGAGTTAATAGGTAGCAGTCTTACTAAGAGATTGCAGGTATGTGGTGGAACAGCTGAGGTGCATTTGAGTTGGTCTAGACAACACTCTTAAAACTACTAGAAAAAAATCAGTATTAGGTGTAAGAGCAGAACATGTGATGTGTGGGTTAGGGGAATGTCATGAGTTCGAATCATGTTGTAGACAACAGTCTGGTATTTAAGTGGGGAAATGGAGAGAGGCAGGCTGATCCTCCAAAAAAACAGAAAATAAACTTCCTCGAAGAGTTGTATTACTATCATTAAAAAGAAATTTGACTAAATCACTCCCTTAGGGCTTAGTGTACCCTTGAGTTAGTGCTACATTTACATGTGCACAGAAAGATTAACTTATTACTGAAATCTAATTCAAAGTTAGTACTAAATCGCTTTGTAGAAGAATGATAATTACTGTCCGAATCATTGTATTAATGGAACTCTAGTTGAAGCCTTAATCCTATGTTGCTTTTACATGGTTGGACTTTTAAAGTAGCAAAGTTTGCCAGGAGTTCCTGTGCTTCTTAATGAAGGCACAATAATGATGAGGAAATTCAAGTCTGTGGTTGCATATGCAATGAATCTTCAACTGATAATCGTCACTTCTCTTATTTGTTCTAGTTATTTATTTAAAACAGGATTAAGTTAATTTACTTTGTATGAGTTCAAATCCCCTGTATATGCTATTTCTGTGTTCATTCAGAAGGACTTTGCTTATGTTATAGTACAAAGCATGAATCAGTTTCTTGTTTTCGGTAGTTGTGTTAAAATGTTCTTCTTGTTTTACAACTACTGTTTTGACTTGGACCAATCGTACTGAAATTCAAATTTAGAATCACAAAACACATATCACCAGAACGTTGTAAGCACCCAGTTTTTTGCTCAGCATAGCATCACGTAATGTTTGGTAGGCTTAGGATCGGATAGAGTTGACACTTGACACTATATGTCTCGATGAAAATGGTTATCAGATACCCTATAATCGTCTCACTTTGGGTTCCATGAATGACTAACCGATATGCTTTCTACTATAAATTATTATATAGCCTGAAAATCTCACTCTCCATCTTTTTATTAGATCAGCTTTCATGTGCTTTTTATTTCAGAATTGTTTTATCGCGTCTGAGTAAATTGAAGTGTATCACCTTCCATGTCCTGAAAATTCATGTTAAATTACTCTGACAATGCAGGGCCGCTTTGAGATCTTAGCATTAACAGGGTCATACACTGTTTCTGATAACGGTGGCATGAAAACTAGGTCCGGTGGATTGAGTGTTTCTCTAGCTGGCCCAGATGGGCGTGTTATTGGTGGTGGTATTGCTGGTTCCCTTACGGCTGCAAGCCCCATCCAAGTAAGTCCTTTTATGCATGTGTTTATATATATAGAATAAATTAGAAGTCCCTTAGAGCTCAGCGCTCTGCCTGTGTTTGCTTGTTCCCTATACTGAAGATGGTTGTCCTCTTTACGAGCTAAGTTGTTGATTATGTTAGTGAATTAGAAAATGATGTGAACGTGTATCATCTGCGTAGGCCATATATACCTCATTCACAGCCAACATCGTTACTCGTTAGCATATTTATTGAATGTAATTTTCTTACATTTGCTAGATGGTGGTTGGAAGTTTCATGCCAAATGCGTTTAAAACACATAACAAAAGGAAGCATCATCAGATCGAATCAAGAGGGCCTCCAGTCATCCACAGCTCTCCAGATCCTGTTTCAATGATAAGACCTGTCTCACAAGCACCACCGTCGAGCAACATTACTCTGACTCAGACATCTCAAGTACCAAGCCACAACCATGGTGAAGCTGACAACAGCACGAGTAACAAGGACATGCCGAATTCCACCTCTACAGACACTTCTGACTGTAACGGATCTGAACCAGCATTCGAGCAGAGATCATATCCCGATATCAACGTGTCTATACCTATGGAGTAAGTAAAGTAAAACTCGATGGATCGAAACCAAAACTTGACTATAGTTCTTTTCTGCTTAGCAGATTCCTTGTTTTGCTCTTGTCTGTGCTGATTGTAACTTTTGAGGAATCATTAGGACTTGCCTTATTAGAAACTTTTTTAAGTATTATGCTGCTGACATGACTAGAAAAAAAGGCTAATATATCTTTTGTTTTTCTAGTTATTGTAATGTTTTTATAATCCTCTATGGATATGATAATTTAGGAAGAGATGTTGACAATATAATGTCTTTTGGGCCCCTATTTGGAAGTCTTGTATCTAATTAGAGCCATCGAAATGGGCTTGACATATGAGATAGTCTAATTCCTTTCATTTTTTGGTTCAAGGGCCAAATCGTGGCCTGATTAGGGTTGAGTTGAACTGTTATTTTATAGATTCTTTAATTAAAAGGGTCAATACACCTCAATCCGTTGCCCGTTTAAGGCTCGATCGAGCTGCTAGGCCCTTTAACAATCCGATTAGCTCTCTAGCTCGTTAGGGTTAAGTTGGACTAGCTTATTTTGACAGTTTATATGTAATGGGGTCAAAAACCATGGGTATCAATGTACAAGATGTTGTAACACTGATGAACGATAACATATTAGATATTATTATATAAAAGAAATCAAATATCGACACTAATACAACTACCGATACTCAACCTGACTAAACTTAAGAAACTTCTTTTTTTATGCCAACGAAACGTACAATAATCTTAGCATAGTAATTCCAATCAGGATGAAAAGTTGTTATCGCAGGTTGTCCAATTAAGGAATGTTCTTTAACGTACGTTGGAACATCATTTGCATCAACAAGACCATCTAGAAACTTCTGGAGATCACCCTCGGGACCTACATAAACAAATCAAATCGAACTTATTATATACACTGACAGTGAAAAAAAATTACATTAACCTATCTATTTAAACAATTTGTTACCAAGAAATGTGTCTTTGCCATTTCCAACTTTGAAAACATGAGGGAAAATCGCAGTATTAGGCTGCAAATAAAATCAAACAAAGAAATATAGATTTAGTTTCAATAAAATAATACACGAGTTTAAATAATATACATCGCCAGTATAAAAAATAAATTACGAAAAAACTTACAGGATTTATTAGAGCAGTATGGGGTTCATCATCAATCATAATTGTGTTTGATTCTGAAAATTTTCCACCACGAAAAGGAAGAATATTATATTTATTTTCCCATATTTTTTTCATTTGCTTCAAGAAAATGGGCTTTTCTTTTTTCTCCAAGCATTTGAATCCACTATCAATACATTTTTCTTGATCCTACAAAAATAAATTAATTTAATTTGTTACTATTTTCATTGAAAAAATTCATAATTAAACAAGTATAATTTCTTTTCACAAAAATTTAACTACAATAAATAAGCAAAAGTTAGTTCTAATTAAAATAAACAATTACTTACCCATACAAATAACAACTTTCTTCTAAGACCAACCATGATGTTATCCAAAATAGCATCCATATTTCTCCTATAATAATTAAAAAAAATATATGGACAAAAGCAAACTATAATAATAATAATATAGTTTGAATACATAAATATAACAACAAAAAATCTAATGTAATTTCATAAGTGCGATCTGAAGAGGAAAATACATAAATAGACTTATATACCCTTACATCACTACCTCAAGAAATAATTCTGACAAACGATCGACACAAAGAAAAAACATTTTAAATCACGTTGAAAAAAGAAAATAGGGAAAGTGAAAAATTCATGATAAAAATCCAATAGATTAACTATTTAATTTACTAGATTTAAACAAATTTAATTAAGGAATACTAACTCCATGGCAGAAGACCATATCCCAACTTCAAATCTTTCGAGGCAAAACTTCAAGAATGGTTCACAGAAAGGCCTTTTGAAAACTGCATTTTGAAAAAATACATCATTATAACATTAGTTAAACAAACAAAACAAAAATAAAATATAATGGAGAATTATTTTATAATTATATTTCACAATTATTTTATGTCATCATGGATTTAAACGAATCCACTAGTAACTTTTTCGTAAATCTTGTAACTTTTACTAGAAATTTAAATAAATATATATAGGTTCGGATCCCCTTTCAATCTAATTACCATGTTTTTTAAAACCCCTAAACTCTTAATCATAGCACTATAATTATGGAGATATACACAAAAAAATACATATAAAATCATTATATTTCTCGATCACTCGAACCAATCAATTAAAATTAAACTCCGATTATTATGTATTGAACAAAAGTAAAAACACCAATAACTATCATAGAAAATTCAGTAGCTACTTGTATTACAAAAAAAAAAGAAAAAGAAGTAATTAGCTTAATTCCCAAAAACAATAAAATTCGACTATAAATTCAAATACTGAATACTGAATAATTGAAAAAATTCACATATTTGAAAACAATGAAAAATTAGCATAAGACACATTAACTAACAATTAAAAATATTATAAAAGACGCAAAAATTCATTATTATTTATTATAAAAAATTATGTCTAGATTTCTGAAATTCAAATATCGTCACATAAATTTAAACAAACCTTTGAAATTCCCGCAAACCAAGTCTGGTTTATAGGTTCGAACACTAAACCAATCTCTTTTGTGAACCCTATGAACCAACAAACCACCAAGATTAAGCACGATGAGTTTCTTTTTTGGACCAAGGTACAACTTCTCCAACGGAAGGTACAACTCTAATTTTCCACTAATTTTATTTTTACTTTCATCATCACTATAATTATCATTATGAGAAATCACATTCTTCAATTTCAAGTTAGGAATTTTTTGTGCCATCGTTGAATTTTGAAGAAAATAAAAAGACTTTAGTGATAGTTTGTTGGAAAAATAAACTTTGGTGATTTTATATTTATAGTGGTATTTTATGATTCATTAAATAATAAAGATAAATTAAACCCTTTAAATTCTTTAATTAAATTAAGGAGCCTTTTCAATTTTCGAGGATCAAGAGTTTATCAAGGGGTCTATGGCTTTCTTTTACTCGTCCATTTTGAATTATCTGTCGTATTTATCTTTCATTCACATTATACTAAATAAAATTATTAATCGTCCTCGTCCGTCTTGAATTATCTGTCGTATTTATCTTTCATTCACGTTATAATAAATAAAATTACTAATCGTCCTTACCTTTTATTAAGATTCATGTTATTGTTATTGTGCCCTTTGTTAAAATATATTGTACTCATTAACTACATAATTAAGCTGAGGACAATTCCTACTAAAAAGTGAAAGAGACTAACAAAACAATTGTATTTTAAATTCAAAAAATAAAAAATAATTTGATAGTATTATCCTGATAAACCAGGACATATAATTTGAAACAACAATAATAAATGAATTTACCAAGCTAGCTAACCTAGTATGAAAAATCGAATTTTTATCAACAAAATAAAATGAAAGAGGTATTGTTCGATGAAAAATCAAAACATTCATCAACAACATAAAAATTAATATTAACAATCATTGAATTACTAAGAATATTCTCCAAACTAATCTTATTAATGATATTTTAAAATCCTAAAAAAAATAACATAAAAATATAATAAAACTATGGGATAATGCACAAGTACCCCATCAACCAATACCCGAAATCTCAGAGACACACTTATACTATATAAAGATCCTATTACACCCCTAAACTTATTTTATTAATAGTTTTTTATCCCCTTTCGGCCTACGTGACACTATCTTGTGAGTCCAACACTGATTGACTTTTTTTCCAAACTAGTGTCACGTAGGCCCAAAAGAGGTAGAAAATTACATATAAAATAAGTTCAGGAGGTAATAGAACTTTAGTATAATGTAAGTGTGTTTCTGAGATTTCGAATATACGTTGAGTGAATAGTTGTACATTTTCCATAAAACTATTCTTAATTATAAAAACGAATAAACAAAATGAAACAGACAAAATATATATAATTAATATCAAACATAGGAAAAGGCATAAAACTATTCTTAATTATAAAAACGAATAAACAAAATGAAACAGACAAAAAATATATAATTAATATCAAACATAGGAAAAGGCATAAAAGACTATTGACATAATCAGCATAGATGATAGCAAAACATTATCAAAACATAGTTTATATCATTAATAACCCCATAGAACAATAAAGTCCCAAAACACCTGCGACATGCGAAAAAAACAACATAAAACCACACCAAAACATTAGCCTTATTCATAGAACTAAATACTAGTAATTAGAGTCGTTAATAAGAGTAATGGGATTCATAATCAGAACAACCAAAGCTAGGATCTTCCACATCGCGAATTATCTTAGAATAATAATCCCAATCCTTATGAGTATTTGTTATCGCAGGTTGTCCAAATTGATGTCCTTTAACATATGTTGGAACATCATCAGCATCAACTAGTCCCTCCAAAAACTCATGCATTTCACCCTTAGCATCTATCAAAAAAACAAAAACGATAATTTTTTTATCGAATTATCATATCAGACTTTGATATAAATTATAACGTCAATACATAATAGTAATTCATTTTTTTTAGCTAGGCATTTCCACTAGACTATATAAGCTACGTGTACTCAATTATCAGATACCATCTATTGAACTAACTCAGCGAAATATTTAAAAAAAATTGAAATTTGATTATTGATAAATATGAAGGACAAGTTAATTACCTAGAAATGTGTCTCTATTATTTTTAACTTTGTAAGCAGGAGGAAAAACACCAGTATTAGGCTGCAAATTTTTTTAAAAAAATTAACAATTAGTCTAACTAATCATATTGATTTAATTAATAAATTAATTAATGAAAAATAATTAAAACTTACAGGGTTTAATAGAGCAACATGGGGTTCATCATCAATTAAAAGTGTGTTAGATTCTGAAAATCTACTACCATAATAATTATTTTCCCATATTTTCTTCAATTTCTTCAAAAATATTGGCTTGTTTTTTTTCTCCACAGTTGAAAAACCACTATCAATACATTTATCTTGATCCTACAAAAGTAAAAAATATTCAAAAATAATACAATTTTTTATTTAATAAATTAAACTAAATTAAATTAAAATTCACTTACCCATACAAATACCAATTTTTTTCGAAGTCCAATCATAATGTTGTCTAAAATTGGTTCCACATTTCGACTATCATATGAACAAAAGAAAAGTCAAAAAAGTAACAATGATTAGATTAATTAATCAATTAATTAATTCACTAATTAAAACAAATACCATTATATTAATTTAATTAATTAATACTTACTCCATAGCAGAGGACCATAGTCCAACTTCAAATCTTTCAAGGCAAAACTTCATAAATTGATCACAATAAGGTCTCTTGAAGACTGTTTTAATTAAAAAAAACAAATTATAAATATGTTTAACTTATAACATAATTAAAAATAATACCAAATCAAAAATTATAAAATTATGAATACGATTATTAAATATCAGATGAGAAACAATAAAAATAAAAACACACAAAATATACGAACCTAGGAAATTGCCATGAGAAAGGTCCGGGGTGTATCTCCGCACCGTTGATTCGTTGCGGCGATGCACCCTATCGACTAGTAGCCCACCAAGATTAAGGACAAGAAGTTTTTTTTTAGGACCAAGGTTCAATTTTTCCAAAGAAAAATAAAAGTCTAAATTTTTAGCAACTTTTTCATCTTCGTAATCACTATTATTATCATTAGAATCAACCACAACATTTTTCAACTTTAGATTACTTGCCATACTTTGAAATTAATTAGAAGAAAGCCTTTTTAAAAAAAAATATATATAGATAAAAGACTATGGTGATCTTACATATTTATAGTGGGAGAAAATAAAAGGTCTATTAATTCCATTAATTAATGGTAAATAAAAAATCTTAAAATTATGTATAATTAAAAGATATAACCTTTTCACTTTCCAAGTAAAATTTTGGTAAGTTGTACTCTCATTTAATCTATAAGTAAAAATTAAATGTTGAGTTAGTTGTTGAGTGAATTCAAATTCATCTTTAAGGTTTTCAATTTAAATTTCATTTTGATAAAATTATCAGTAATTAGCACATCAAATTTCACTAGAACTCTAAAGTTATGTATGCTTAATTAAGTTGAGTATATATAACTCTAAGAAATTTCTCGTATTGCATTCCTCATTTATATTCTCCTGAATAAGGTCTATTTATTTATTTTCATGAATTAAGGTTCAAAAATAATTTCTTTATCTCTAAAATAAAACTATATATATTTTACGCTCTTTAAATTTATTTTGTGGGAATTAAAATTACGGTGAATATTTTATTATTGTCGTATATATTGACATTTAATCAAGTACGGAAGAAAGATCAAATTAGCAGCTGTGGTTTCTAAAAAATAGTTCTCATAAATTATTTTAGAAATTTAAAATAAAATTAATTATTTCTTTTCTATTTTATTCTAGAATTTTTTTTTCTTGAAAACTACAAATTCCTTAAACATACTTGATACTTCTTCACATTTTTACACAAATGCAATTTAATTCTAGTTGCTAATTTAGTTTATTCTTAAAGGATTCAATTCATTTAATCAGGAAGAAGCTAAGTTATTTAAAAAATATATAAAAATAATTTTTTTATCCGATATTTAATATTTATTTTTAAAATTAAATTGAATTTAAATTTGCATTAGAAATTTCACGTTAAAGGCAAGACGCTATTCTATATCAAACGTAACTTAGAAAATTTGAATTTACTTTTTCACATACAACTCTTTCTTGTTTTTACAATGCTATAGAATTCTAATTATTGCATCTAGCCAAAGTTACTTTATAATGTAGTCATATATATATATATATATATATATATATATATATATATT